TTTTTTTTTTTTTTTTTTTTTTTTTTTTTTTTTTTCTTTTCGACTTATAGCATGCTGCCATACTCCTCGATTTAGTAAACAGTCCAATCAAAGATGCAAGAATCAGAGAATCTTACAATCTTAAATTGTAATAGAGGTAGGGCACACAAAAGAATGACATAATCCAATGCCCTGTTAAAAGATAAAAGATGCACAAGACTCCTTGGGTGATGAACTCAGGTATCACCACTTTGTTTATTCGTGATGAGGAATCATAAGGATTGATATAATCAAACTCAAGATCAGCTAAGCACATCAGCTGCAACAAGTTTCAAAAGCATCATAAGTTCTTCAGTTCCAACATTGTTACACCAAAGGTATTAGAAAATTAACAATACAGTATTGTCAATCAAATATTCATATGTAGGGAATGGTTGTACTAATGACAGGGTATAAGCGAATTAAGATAGTAAGCTTCCAAAAATGGGCAGCTAGTATTTATAAACTACAATCCATCGCAAGGCAGCTAGTCAATCGACTTAAGGATAGCACAAGCAATTATGATTCACAGAGAACAGACAGAAGGGGAATCGACTTAAGCAAACATTGTTTATATCGAGAAATCAAGGGGCCTTCAAATCAAACATCAGACAGCTTCCTATCCATCTTCCTCTCTACAATTGTCGTGGCTAAGAAATTTTAGACAAGTCTCTAGGCTGTTAATGCCGCCCCAGAAGGTAACTTAAACAATCAGGGTTTCCATCGAGCAATTTCGAATATGTCCACAAAAACACATCAGTATGCAGAAAAGTTAAGTAATTGCTAATTACAGCTCCTGCTCTCATTAACAAAAACACATATTTAGCGTCAAACAATATAAAATCTGAATTCTCCGGTGACTTCAAGAAAATTAACGTGCAAATACACAAAATATAGAAATTCTAGGGTTTAGAGACAACCTGGAAAACGACGAGTATGAGAAGCGCAATGATAAAGAAGAAAGAGAGTAGCCAGACGTAGATATCAGCCATAGAAATGCCCTCAACCAAGTCCCTGTCTCTTGTCTCTCTCCCTGTGTGTGCGATTTGAAATACAAACTCAATGCCGCAACATCGTCACCGAACATACATGCTCCTGCCGTAGGGGAAATGGATTGGAGAAGATGATGAAGGATTATAGGAAAGGTGCAAAGTGAACGCCAGCGATCATAATCCTTATGCACAAAGAAGCAACCGAATCTGGTTGATCGGAATTTCACAAAGCGACGGGAGGCTCCAGATTTTTTTTTTTATTTTTTTTTATTTTTAAGAACTTTTAGCTGCTTACTTGTTGCATATGCAATTCCTTCTTCTTCTTCTTCTTTTTTTTTTTTTTTTGGGTTAATTTGGACTCTA